GGGAGGGAGGGGGAGGGAGAATAATCAAATGATGCAGGTATTTTGCATACAGACCACCTCATCTATTGACCATTTTCTTATAGTAAGAGCATTAATTTTTTTTCTTTTCTACTATGCTAAAATATTCAATATGGTCATGTTAACTGTAGTCACCTACTGTGCACTAGAACGTCGGAGCCCATTTGTCCTGTCTAACTGTAACTGTACCCATTGACCAATTGCTTCCTATACCCTTCCCCCACACTCCCCAGCCTCAGATAACCACTCTCTACTCTGTGATTCTATGTGCAAACCTGGTCATTCTGCATCTTTTGGAAACTACCAGATGATGGAGGATCCACATACCCATTGCCAATGTTCCTGTCCAGGAGACCGCACTTTGAATAGCAAGAGTAGGGGATCGAGAGAGTAAATTCTGGAGTCCAGGTGCCAGAAAACTGAATCCCAGCTCCATCTTCAGCTGCTTGACCTTGGGCAAGATAGCCAACTTCTGTGACCTCAGTCTCTGCACCAGAGAGAAGAGAATGAGAGTGCTTACATTGTAACTATCCATAGCTGCCTAAGACGAAGCATGAAGCACTTAGCACCACACCTGCAGCCCGAGAGCAGCCCTTGAAGACAGGGGTTGCTAGTGGTCCTGAGGGAGAAGGACGGTTGCTGGGTCCGGAGCTGAGCAGTGCTCTAGGGAGGTGCTGGAGACACACAGTCACGTCAATCTCCCTGTCAGACAGAGGAACACACCACCAAAGCTGAAAGAGCTTGGCCAGGCAATTCTTTGTGTTAAAAGGCTACCCCAAGACCCTGGCCTGGCTGGCAAGCACACTTTGGCCAAGTTGGCTTCTGTCTTTTATGCCTGACATAGGTGATTGACTGTGGCTCATCCGATTGGTGGGAGCTCAGCTTCACAACCTGATGCAGTTGGTTGATCAGTACCAAGTGGGTGGAGAAGGCACAGGAAATATGAGTCTTTGCTGGGTTAACTACCTTTGATAGAGAATTTCAAAAATTGCGTAAATAAAATTTAAAAATGAAAGCCAACTAACTACTTTTGAGAGAAAATACGTTTTGTAGGAAAAAACAAAAAACAAACTTTTTTTGTAGTAGGCTGTCTCTTCCACTTCTTTTCTCTCCGATCTCCCTTCAAGCCAATCCACATGGAAACTGCAGCTTTGTGGTCTGCATCTGGGGGCTAGGACTTGTTTGTGTGGCACTAGAATGTCTGGAACCCTCAATGCTAGTAAGAGTCACTGAAGGGGCTCCCTTGAATTTGCTGCCACTGTATCTGCTCGGTAGCCAGTCTTGGTGCGTTTAGGATCAGTCACCTCCAAATTACTATCCTGATGCTCCAGTCCAAGCCAAAAGACCAATAATGAGCCTTGTCTGTTTCTGGAAGGATCAGTCTTTTCTTCCCAACCTGAGCTTTCACTGACTACTCAGGCAAGACCCAACATGAGTGCTGAATAAATGGGATCTGTTAGCAACCCATGGCTTGGGGATGCTTGTGGCATAGAACCCTCTTCTGGGCCTGCTGCCTTGGTCTCTGTTGTCAGTTTCTTGGACTGTCTATGTATCTCTTAGATGGCTAAGACTCTGAAAGCTGGCTAACTCATCTTTTGTCTGTAATTATGAAAGCCTGGTGTAATCCAGGGGAAAAAAAATCCAGGTTAGTCAACGGTCATCAAAAAAACACAAATCAAAATGGCACTGAGATTATATCTTCCTCTGATCAGAATGATGGCCATTAAGAAAATAAATAACAACAAATGCTGCTGAGGCTGTGAAGAGAGAACTCCTAGATGCTGCTGGTGGGAACATAAACTAATCCAGCCACTATGCAACTCAGTATGGCGCTTCCTCAAACAACTAGCAATAGATCTTCCCTACGACCCAAATGTACCACCCCAGGGTATTTACCTAAAAGCCTCCAAGTCAACACAGCATGGTGATACTTGAACATCAGTGTCTACACTACTCACAACAGCTAGATTACGAAGCCTACCAACGGGAATGGATTTAGAAGATGTGATGCAGGTATATCTACACAATGGAATATTTGTTGGCCATGAAAAAGGAATAAAGACATGTCATTTTTGAGAAAATGGATGAAGCTGGTGGAGATGATCCAATTAAGTGAGTTAAGTCAGTCTCAGAAAGATAAATACCATATGCTTTCTCTCATTTGTGGGTCCTAGATTTTATATAGATACATAAAATCATGCTTGCATGTATGGCTTGAGAGAAGAAGTAAACTGTCTATGGAGACAGAAAGGACTAATGGGAGAGGAAGAAGGATGAGGGGCTATGGGTGTATGTTCAGCATATAATATATACTTTCATAAAACCTTGAATTCATTTTAAGAAGTTGAAGTCCCATTTGGAATATTATAAAGAGCAAAAAGCAAGAGCCTCTGAGGAGTAACTGAATCCAGAGTAGCAACAATGGCACAGACGGTGTTTGAACTCCCTTCTATAGTAGACTGTATCAGAGAAAAGGGTGCATCCTGCTAATGCAGGAGCCTTGGTGACTTAAATCTAAACTCCAGGCTTTTTTCATGAAGCTGGACCTGAGTCAGGACCTCAGAACTTCATTTCCAACCTTCGAGTCTGGAAGGGGTAAACCAAGCCTGCAGGTAGCAGGACATCCTCCTAACAGCATGACTGAACCAAAAGAAACGGTATGTCCTAGACTGTTTCCGGTGCTGCGATGAAAGCACTCTAACATGGATAATTAGAAACAACGGAAACACATTTCTTTCAGTCATAGAGGCTGAGACGTGCTGGGAGCCACAGAAATATGAAGTAGGAATTCAGCTGACTATGGCAAAAGCTAATACCTGGAAGAAGCCAAGGCACCCCCACCCCCAGAGTTAAAGCCAAGGTTCAAGGAGTCTTGGTGATATTGGCTCTTGAATATTAAGCTGTTTTCATTAATTTCTTGCATTCTCTTGTAGCTTCTCCATTTCTAGAACAATGTGTTGATCATTCACTGGGCACAATTTCCCCTATGCTATTGGAATATTTGGACAACCTTCCCCAACTGTGCTAATGCAGCAACACAGCCAGACCCCCAATTTCAAGCCTCTCTGTAATTATCATCATTTTATCATCATTAGCACCATCTGGCCAGAACCATCTCCAGACAAAAGTATCTTATCTGAGAAACTTCCTAGACTTTTTAAGAATAGACCATCTGTCAGAGGAGGTAAAGATTCACACTGTCAATTGCCCAGGTCAAGTGAATGGGATAATTAAGCTTAACTTTCTCCTTTTCCAATTTTTATCTCTAATTCTAGATCTCCCTTTAACAATTACCGGGTGCATCTAGCTATGAGAAACTAGATGGGATAGGACTAGATGAAGGAATTAAGATAGCACTTAGAGGAAATAGGAGAAAAATGTAGGTAGAAATCAGGCAAGAAAGGAGCTAAATAAGAGAGCAGAGAAGAAGCTGTGAAGAGAGGGAACTGACTCAGAAGAATGAAGAGAGTGGACTAAAGAGTTCCATGTGCATAGATATTCGAGAATCCCTCAGATTAATTAATCTGCCGCTAGCAGCGTCCCTTCTGGAACTCTGGGAGAAAGCTATCAAGGGGCTGGACCCCAATAGCTCTCATTAGAGAAGCCCGGTGACCAACAGAGTCTGAGTCTGTGCCTGGTGAGGAATTACTCTCTTTCAAGATGGCTGCATCTTCAGTTGGTGTCAGGGTAAATGTTATAGAAAGACAAAATAGGGCCTAACTCCCTCTCTCAATCCCTTCTGTAAGAACACTAATCCTATGCTGGAAGGTAGAGGCCCTCATGGCTTAATCACCCCAGAAGGCCCCCAGCTCTCAATACTATTGCACTGGGTATGAAATTTCAACATGAATTTTCAACAAACATTGAAACTACACCAATTGTTCAAGAGTCCGAAGAATCCAAGGCCAACTTGACCTGAGGCAGTAATAGTCCCAAGGGATATAACAGAAGAACTGAAGAACTGTACCTACAGCCAAAAGCCAACCCAGTGCTTATCTTAGCAATTTCTTTCTTAATCGTGTGTGTGTGTGTGTGTGTGTGTGTGTGTGTGTGTGTGTGTGTGTCTTTACCATGTTGCACACATGGAAATCCTTGCCTTCCACTGTGTTAGAGACAGGGTCTCCTGTTGTTCACTGCTGCAAACACCAGAATGCTGGACCGCGAGGTCTCTGCATTTCTCTGTCTCTGCCTCCCATCTCTCTGTAGCAGGTCTGTGGTTACAGATTCACCTCTGCACCCAGCTCTACGTGGGTCTAGACTCGGGTCCTGTGCGTACATGGCAAGTGCTTTACCCATGGAGCCTTTTCCCATCTTTTTCTTGTTACCTTTACTTTCTCCTCCTAACTCCTTCCCTTCTTTCTTTCTGCCCTGAAACTATTTTTATGTTTCCCCCGCTACTTTATTAACCAACAGGCTTTCTTTATAAAGATTTTAGATACAGTAAAATCTCAAAATAAACAAACAGATAAGACAAAGAACACAGTACTCCTTCCTTACTTGTGGTTCGTTTTCCCTGAATTTAGTTACCTAAAATAACCAAAAATATTAGATGTGAAATGCCAAAAGCAAACAATTTATAATTGTAAACTGGTGTCATTCTCAAGTTGCATGACAGCATCCCGTGGCATCATTGTCCTGCCTCTCTCCACCGAGGATCTAAACTTCCCTTTGTCCAGTGTGTTTACACTCAGCTGCTCTCTGGTCACTGAGTACCTGTTTTGGTTATCCCATTAAGTGTCACACTGTCACTATTCTTTCTGAATCACCTATTCACTTAACAGAGGCAGAAGCCTGCAGGAAGAGCGATGCCTGCGCTTTATTTAACGAAGTTTCGACTCGGGTGTGGCAGCTCACTCCTATAATCCCAGCATTGAGAATGATGAAGCAGGTGGGTTTCTGTGAGTCTGAGGGCTGCCTGGGCTTGACTGAGATGCTGTTTCAAGAAAGAAAAAAATGTTGTAATTCTTTGTTTTAACCATTCCTTATATAGTTTTTCCTGGAAACATTGCACACACTATAGAATGCTCAGTCTATTTTCAACAAATTTCACAGTCACCATGATCATACCCATGGAAGCCACGATAGATCCAAGAATTGTTCATCTTTATTCTTACAGAAGATAGCAGGGACCTTCAATCTTTTCTAGTTAACTTCTATTGTTTGTTTTAATTACAAAGCGATGCAATCCTAAATGTTTAACAACGTTATTACCTTTTTACTAGTGTTTGCTGTCTCCTTCCAGTCTAGCTGCGTTTGTCACTTTAATCTCACTGTCACCATTCACCTAGATTTAGACTTCAAAACTACATAGTCCAGCTTATTACAGTTGGCAAGGACCCTCAGGATAGACACATGCTCAGTTGGTCACTATCGCTGATAGTGTATAACGACCCGGGGAGTTCATGGAAGTTGGCTGTTGGAGTAAGATAGACTAAAGTATAAATTGGCTCTTACTGGTATCAGGAGTAAGAGCCAAATGGCATGGTTATCCTCCATGCCGGCCTCCTCAGTGTGAAAACAGCAATAACAAATTCTACACTGCAAAGGCTGGGGAGATGCCTCAGGTACTGGCCTTGCAAGCATGAGGATCTGAGTTTAGTCCCCAGAACTCATGTTTAAAAAAATGATGGGCACAACGAGTGGTGTGTGCTTCTAATTCCAGTGCTGGAGAGAAGGGACAGGTGGATAACAGTGGCTTGTTGGCGAGCCAGTCTAACCTAATGGACAAGTCACAGGTCAGAGAGACCCTGTCTCAAAACACAAGGGTACAATGCTTGAGAAATGACACCTGAGGTTGTTCTCTGGCTTCCAAAGGCACATGCAAGTGTATTCATGTCTACATGTGCAAGAGCATGCGCGCCCCCCCCCCCACACACACAGATTGCTTAAGCTTACTCCAAAAGTTTGTGCTTCAGTAGGAATGGGTTGATTTCCATGAATTTGCATGTCTAGGCTATGATAATTGTGTCACTGATGTTCACTTTGGTGTGTCGTGTGTGTGTGTGTGTGTGTGGGGGGAAGTGTGTGGCTTCTAAGAACCACTGATCCAGGACACAGGATAGATTAAGATCCAAATGTCTGCTTGTCCACTCAGTAGTTGTGCTGATTTGTGGTCAACCACACTTTCCTTCTCTGAAACATGGGTAAAACTTCCTTTTTATTTTTCCTTCCTTTCTTTTTTATGAGACAGAGTCTCACTATTATAGTCCTGGCTAGACTGTAACTCTCTATGTAGACCAGGCTGGCCTTCAACTCACTGGGAACTGCCTGCTTCTGCCTCCCCAGTGCTAAGATTAAAGGTGTGGGCCACTGTATCCTGATAACTTTGTTGTAATTGAGGACAACCTAGCACTTATTAGGTCGTCATAAACCTTAATTCATTGCTTTGTGGCAGGGCCCTTTTCTGTTCAGTTTCTAGAGTGTTCCTGTCCCAAAGAACTAAAGCAGGTAGATGGTTTTGCCCCTAGAATGACTTGCCTCTCATCTTGGGCACATTATACAATACCTGTCACTTGCTCAGGAAAGGTAATAGATACACTCTATAGCTAGTGACTTTTTCTTTCTTTCTTTTTTTTTTTATTGATTATGTATACAGTGTTCTGCCTGCATGTGTTCCTGCAGGTCAGAATATGACTCCAGATCTCATTACACTGGTTGCAAGCCACTATGTGGGTGCTGGGAATTGAACTCAGGACATCTAGAAGAGCAGCCAGTGCTCTTAACCACTGAGCCATCTCTCCAAGCCCGCTAGTGACTTTTGATTCAGGCACTTCATTAACTTCTTACCTATCTACCTTCTAAGCAAATGGTGCATTGTTTAAAAACTGCCCCCCTCCACTGCCAACTGACACAGACTTTACAAGTGACTATTTACATGTCCCCGAGTCCATTTTCCATTAGTGATAGGTAGGGTGTGGGTAAAAGTCTATTCATAAGTTGCAAGACAGGTATAACTCTAATTGTATCTCTTCTCTTCAAGTGGCACACTCTCTTGGGGGAAAAATCACCATCTTTCTGCTGTGAAATTGGTTTGCTGGTTTTCTGCCAAATCGAAGCCTTGCCATAGTAAATACATCGGCTTTAATTATTCATTTCTATTTGCTTGAAGAAATATTCTTATGTGACATGCATATGTTCATGCATTTCCTTGTTGCAGCAACATGAGCCAAATAAGCTGCTTTCACACATAGAAGCAACTCCACGGGGCTGTTACAGCTAACTTGTGTTCTCTGCACTCTTCACACATTCTCCACTCAGTTGAAGAAATGCTAACAGGGAAGATGCATGGAACAAGACCAGGGAATCTTTTCGGCACCTCTTCCGGTAAATGAGGGAACTGGCACTGCCCTTTGCTATTGACGATTGACTCGAAGCAGCGACCAAGGAAGAGTGTTGACGTTCAAGTCCTTGGCTGGCTTCACCAACTGGATCTAACCCAGTGAGGCTGTGAGTCTTGAGTTCCCCAGAAAGTCTTCACAGCATGCATGTCAGGGGCTGTTCTGCCATCTGGTGTTCACTGAGGGAACCATGCACAAGCCACCACGTGTTAACTAGCCTGTGTTTTTCTTAGACTTCAGTGATGGGTGTGAAGTTGTCATAGGCTCAACTAAAGGCAATCGCAGAATCTCTGCCAAATTCCAAGAGAAGGCAATGTGAGAAGATAGATCAAAATGTACACACTCTTCATCTACTGATTCCATTTCTACAAATTGATCTCATGTGTACATTTGTGTGTGTGTGTATGAGTGTGTGTGTGTGTGTGTGTGTGTGTGTGTGTGTAGGCCAGAGGACAACCTCAGGTGTCATTCCTCAGGTGCCATCTACCTCATTTTTAAAAAACAGGTTGCGCCGGGCAGTGGTGGCGCACGCCTTTAATCCCAGCACTTGGGAGGCAGAGGCAGGTGGATCTCTGTGAGTTCGAGGCCAGCCTGGACTACCAAGTGAGTTCCAGGAAAGGCGCAAAGCTACACAGAGAAACCCTGTCTCGAAAAACCAAAAAAAAAAAAAAAAAAAACAGGTTGCTTAGGACTTACCTACAAGGTTAGAGTAACTGGTCAGCAAGCCCGAGAAATCCTCCTGTCTCTGCCTTCCAGTGCTGTACTGCCAAACCCAGATTATTATTGTTATTATTATTATTATATTATTATTATTATTACTATTATTATTGTGGGTTGTGGAGATGAAATGCAGCTCCTCATACCTGTATAACAAGAATTTTACTGACTGGACCAACTCTCCAGCCTAAACTGTTGCCAAGAGGTCCTGGACCTCTTCCTTGAAATATCCAGAGACTGAGAATGCACACAACCCTGTCTTACAAGAATGGTTGGCTTTTGTGAGCAATGGCTGTAGTTCCTGCATACTGAAAGCTGTAAATTCCAAGCCCATTGTGACTTAAAGCTATAAACATGGCAGCCATTTTGAGACCTCAGAACACACCGTGAAGGTTGCTTGAATCTGTGTTTGCCCAAACCACAAAACTAATCACCCTCCTATAGATGGGATTTTCATGGTCCTTGATAAGGATGATGTTATTATTAGTTACCAGTATCATGTAGCTAAAATTTAAAGTATGGCTACTTCACAATTTTTCTTTTCTCCTTTGCTTATTGCTCCTGAGAGGGGATTTTAGGAAAGGGTAAAGAGAATGAAAGGTGTAGGACCAATTCTAATTGATCTTATTAATAAAAACCCAGAGTCAGACATCAGGGTGAAAGCTTAAAGATCAGAGAAGCCGAGCAGCTAGCCACTAGTTCTTACCTCTGTGAAATCCTTAGCCGAAAGCGGGGCGAGATCCTGTCTCTACAAATCCTCAGACTGAATGCCCCGAGATCCTCTCTCCTCCTGCCTTATATTCCTTTCTTCACCCAGCCACATCACTTCCTGCTTCAACCTCCCTAATGCTGGGATGAAAGGTGTGATCCATCACCACTTTGGCTCTGTTTCTCTTTTAGACTGGATTAATCTCCTGTAGCCCAGGGTGGCCTTGAATTCACAGAAATCTGTCTGCCTCTGCTTCTTTTAGTGCTAGGAATAAAGGTGTGTGCCACCACTGTCTGGCCTCCATGGCTAACTCTGTGGCTGGCTCTGACCTCTGAGCTTCAGACAAGTTTTATTTGCTAGAGCATATACAAACTATCACCACAGAAAGGGGCCTCCACAGCCATTGGAGACACATTGGCCATGTCATAGTCAGGCACTATGACATGGCCAGTGGTTAATGATATCCTTTACAAATGGAATGGTCTTAGGTCAGTAGTACCCTTTATGTACATGACAGCAGGTGCCATCCCTGTCTGGGCAGGGATCCCCCTCATGATGAGACTCCTCTAGTGTTAAGAAGGAACTCTTGTCTTCCAACCATAAAGACCAGCTTAGAATCAAAAGATGGAAAGAAAAGTGCCGTGTCTGAGGACAAGATGAAGAGGTGGGAGGAATAACTATCCCCGTAATGAGACTGTACTGTGTGCACCCACCCTGCTAATGGACAACTCGGCCTAACCTTCTCCTTCCTCCTTCTGTCTCCCGCCACAGGGGCTGCTGAGATTGCTATCTGTATCCTATCTGTTCTTTCCTGTCCCTAACTCCAATATATCATTGTTTGATTCTCTTCTGTGTCTTAAAAAAAATCTATCTATGAGATCGAGAACCTGTAAAAGGGACTCTGTGCCCTCCAGTGACACTCGGATCAGTTTTAAACATATAAAATGAGGGTGTAAGATTTCTATACTTGTCAAAAAAAAAATCTCAAGTATTAGTATCTTTGTGTGGAAGAAAGGAGAGTGTGAGGTATAGGAAATTTCCCTTCCCTTACTCACCCAGTACATGAGACTTTTCTGTCTGCACTCTGTGCTGAAGTCATGCACTAAATAATGAACTATTTTGACTTACTTAAAAAAATCTAAGATTGAGCTGGGCAGTGGTGGTGGTGCACACCTTTAATCCCAGCACTCGGAGGCAGATGCAGGTGAATCTCTGTGAGTTTGAGGTCAGCCTGATCTACAGAGTGAGTTCTAGGACAGCCAAGGCTATACAGAGAAACCCTGTCTTGAAAAAAAAAAAAAACTAAACCATCATTATCATCATCATAATCATCAGAGTTTGAAGAGATCAAGGAACCTTATGGGTGTAATCCTGATCTTTTAACTCAGGCTTAGAACACAGAGGAAGCTGGGACCTCAAGAGACGTGACCACAGGATTTGCCTTAGTCATGTAGGGGAAGAAAAAGAATTTTCTCTCTACCCTTTATCATTCTTAGGTGGAACTTTTTGGATAGAACAATGGAGGAGAAATAGAAATTTATTAACATGTTCTTCTTATGAGCACATGAAGAAAACTCAGAGAGATCAATCTATTGCTAGTAAATAAATCTCAAAAGAAAAGGTTAAAACTCCAGGCTTCAGTACCATCCCTTTTCTGAGACAGAGAATGGAGAGTGTGGGAGAGAGGCCCAGGAGAGACAGATGTGTTAGAAGCCCTTGTGAACCAAGTATCAGGGTTGGTCGGCAGATTTTGACCATGCCTTCTCCAGTGTTTAGGTGTCTCTAGTGATGTAGGCACAAGTGTGGAGAGTCTACTCAGAGGTTAAGAGCACTGGCTGCTCTTCCAAGAGGTCCTGAGTTCAGTTCCCAGCAACCACGTGGTGGCTCACAACCATTTATAATGAGATCTGGTGCCCTCTTCTGGCACACAGGCATACATGGAGGCAGAACAATGCATACATAATAAACCTTAAAAAAAAAATTCTCTTACTGGTGGGGATTTAGGTCAGTGGTAGAGCACTTCCCTAACAAGGGTAGGGCCCTGGGTTCCATTCAGCTCTGAGAAAAAAAAAAGACACTAATTCCCTTACTAAAGGTAATACTATACCTATAGCTTCTCAAAGTAGCCAGTTTACAATAATCCATTTTGGCTTGAATTCTCTCCTATAGTACTGTTTGGGGTCCACTGTGGCTTGCACATCCCCTCTAGGCTCATGTGTTAGAATAGCTGGTAGCCAGCTGATGGTGCTCTTTGGGAAAGTTGTGGAGCATTTTAGGAGGTGCGGTCTTACTGGTGGAAGTAGGTTACTCGAGGCGGGGCTTGAGGATGTATAGCTTGTTCCCACTTCCTGTTCACTGCTTCATGACTGCAGATAAAACGTGACTAGCTAACTTCTGTCCCAGAATATGATAATAAAATAAAAGGGAGTCAAGATACCCATCAAGGCTGGCGAGATGGCTCAGAAGGTAAAGGTTCTTGTTCTGCAAGCCTAGTGACCTGGGTTTCATCCCCGGATGTCCTGAGATTTGTCCTTTGACCTTGACATATACGCTGTGTGCCTGCACTTATACACACACTGGTAATATATTTAAAAATCTTCCATATCCAACTGTGGGAGCTAGTTCCCACCATCTCTCAGCAACAGAGAATGAAGCGTAGTTCTTTCTTTTCATCTTTTGCTCTTTTGTGCTGTCTAGCAACAAATACCAGTTCCCTGAGCCTCCTTTAGATCTTTTTGAGTGTGTGATCTGTGTAAGCATTTCAGGTATTTTTGTATAAGGCATGGGAGGCATTTATATTAATAAGACTGCAGATGAGGGCTACATTTTAGCAAGCACTGACTGTGAGCCAGTTGTTCCTTGAGGACTCTATATGCATTCTGGAAACCACTGATGAAAGGGAGCATAGGGAATGAATATTGCCTAATGTGCCACATGCTTTTAACCTCAGTACTCAGGAGGCAAAGGTGGGTGGATCTCTGTGAGTTCAAGACCAGCATAGTCTACACAGTGAGTTCCAAGCCAGCCAGGGTTATATAATGAGACCCTGTCTCAAAATTTTTTTCTTTATTCTTGAGAATGTCATGCATGAAATATGATCATATTTACCCTCCACTCCCCATCTAACACTTTGCATTGTCAGTGACAATTCCTGCAAAGAAGCTGCATTGCCAAGGCTGATTGACTGACTGGAATGGCAGTGACGGGCAGAGGTTGGATTTTTCAGGGTTGGAAGCCAATTACCTTCTCTGGGGTGGTTTTACTACCCAAACAGCCATTCGTTGCCCACCACTGTGTCTAACTAACATCCTGTGTCTAAAGATTAAAAAAAAAACCTTTAGAAATCTATTAACTTAGCACACCACTAGCTTCTACCAACTGCCAAACTAAGAATGTCATCAAAACCATCTGAAGGCTATAGAAAAGCTTCCTCCATTTTGTAAGTACCTCTATGATGTACCCATCAGTGTGTTTTAAACATGCCTTGATGTATGGCTTTTCTAATTCTGTAAAACTATAAAAATTCATGGAACTGCTTCCACATTGGAACATGAAGTTTGGGGTAACCTCAATCTATGTTCCTAGGCCATGGTCACTCAAAATGTTTCCAGAATAAACTATATCTTATTCCCTTTAAGGCAAGAATTGTTTTGTGTAGGAGTACTTTCTTGTCAGCCACCAGCTCCCAAATAATGACACAGGTACTTATTATTAATTATCAAAGCTTAACCTTAGCTTGGACTTTCCTCCAACTAGTTCTTATAACTTAAATTAACTGGTTTCTATTAATCTATGTTCTGTCAAGTGTAGATGTAACTAACTGTCTTATTAAATAAGAAACACAGAAACAATGTAAAGGAGAAAGCCGAGAGGTCAGAGCTCAGAGCTAAAATCTCACCCTTCCTCCTGCGGTGTCCCAGCTTCCCAAAAGAGACCTACTTCCTGTCTGTTCGTTTTTTTTATAGTATGTTGTTCTGCCTTCTCATTGGTTGTAAACCCAAACACATGACTGCCTCGTCACTGTCTGAATGTACAGCCCCCTAGGTCTT